GCATTAAATAATGCCACATATTCTATTAGTGTGTTTGGCGTTTTTGACAATTTTGGAATTATCTCATCAATCTTTATTAGTCGGTTATTTACAATTATATCATTCATGATTTTAAAATTTGATTCTACCCATGTTTTACAAAAAAGAGGTTTTCCGTTTAACTGAATAAATTTATTTTCCCAAAGCCTTTGCTTTTTTACTTCACAGATACAGTGTGGGTGCGAAGCATGTATATTATTGTATTTGACACATACATATAGCATATTCCTATAAAATGTAGGCAACTCTTTTAATGAACTATGCTTTTCAAAGTTCATATCTGTCATACATAATGTATATGTTACAGGAAACATGTAAAAGCATGGAATATATTTCCATTTACCTGGGTCAGGACTTATTAAGCGTTTTACCCAACTTAATTTAAGGGAATCGATTACAGAGTTAAGATCGATCATTTTTAGGCCTCCTTTCATAATATCTTATATAATTATATCTCGTTTTATTTTTGCTTTTTTCCCACTCCATAAGAAGTTATACAAAATTTTATTAACCTTAGGGATAATGTTTTTGGGAATATCAGTGACACTTGCATTATATGTAAGTTTTGATAAAGCAAGTGTCTTTATAATTATAATTTTCCCAAAAAAGGACAAATTTCTTTTTTCCCATGTTTTTAAAACGTGCTCTAAATTAGAAACTTTTTTTCCCAATTTTTTGCAATACAAGTAAGTTTATCATATCCTATATATATTCCTAAAACCTTTATAGGTTCTTGAACGAACGAGATGTCACAAGCATTACCTTTCTTATTTTTATTACTTCCAATCCACACACCTTTCGTTTTATTTTTATTCAGTTTCAAACCTGGCACTTCACAAAACAATTCAATAGCTATGCTATTTTCATCCTTTGCAAAGATCACAGTATCATCAGCATCTTATGTTCTATGCGCGCGTACGGCATTGCTATTGATCCTAAATGACCAAAAAGGTTGGAAATTTGTGAATACAGTGTCAGGGACCTAAAACATTTTAAAAACAATATTTTTAACTTCTGTACGTGACGCGCGCGTAAAAATGCGTTGAAATGCTCAAAAGGGCTTAAAACGTGCTCTAATTTAGTCAAAAATTGATTTTCACCATTTTAAAATTTTACGCGCGCGTTAAAAGCATGCGCGCAAAATGAGTGTACATTACAATCAACCTTCACTCGAAGTTAATTCTCACGTAATACGATTTCAAAATGTCAATTGGTTAGGCTGATATAATCAATTGTGTAAAAAACACAAAAATGCGCTTATTGTCACTATTCCAGGCCAAGCCAAATGTTTGTTTGTGAATGTAGAATAAAAAAAAAAGATCTGACAATAACAAGAGGTGATCCGCACTAGATGCGGATCACCAAAAAGATGATCCTGACAATAACAAGAGGTGATCCGCACTAGTTGCGGATCACCAACTAGATTTGAACTCGTCACTGAGGACGAGTTAGGTGATCCGCCGCACTTTGACCCACGACGAAGTGTGCGCGGTGCGGATTGAACAATATTTAAATGCTGATAATGGCAAATTAGCTAATTTAGTTTGTTAAAAAAGAATTTCGAGCATTTTAAAAGATTTACTCATGCGTACGCGCACGTCTTTACATTGACGAACGCCTGTTGGTGAAGGTGTAATGATCATTCATAGTATTTATCATATATGAAAATTCAGTTTTTTGAATTCAGATGGCAATATGGTGATTATGGGGTCATTAAATGTTTGAGGAAAGAAAGATGAAGTGTCATAAAAAACGTTTATTTTGAACATGATGACGTCATCAAAATGTTAAAAGAAGTCATATAATGAAAGAGAATTGCCTCAGCTATAACGTACTCAAAGTTGGAAGACGATCGACAAAGAATAAGCGAGATACGCTCAAATGCGCATTTTTAAAAATGACGTCATCGATAAAATTCAGTTTGTTGAATATGATGACGTCACAATGTCCGATCGGCCATTATGAGCTAGAAAATCATATTTACAACTCATGTGCTTTAAGAATATGTAATAAAAATTGGGGGTTACCTTTTATCCTAAAGAGCTGTAACTGTTTAAAATTAAGCCTGATTTTAGTAAAATTTCACTGTTTATCGGCACAAATGCGCACAAAGTTCACTATGTTTGATGCGTTCGTACGGCATTGTTATTGGCCATAAGGTGATTGAAGAGATCGGGAACTTGTAAAAACAATGTCAGGAACCCAAAATGTGACAAAAAAAACTTAATTTTTAGCTTCTGTACGTGCTTTGCGCTTAAAAAGGCGCACGTGTAGTGGTAAATTTTAAAAAAATTGAAATGCTCAAAATGGCGTGTAACGTGCTCTAATTTAGTCAAAAAGTGTTTTGAGCATTTTAAAATTTTAACGCACGCGTGCGCGAGCTTTGTAGGGCGCACGCGTAAAATTAGGGTACATTACATTCAACATGGACCTGAAGTTTATGCTCACTTAATACTATTTCGAAATGGCAATTGATTAGGCTGATATGGTCGATAATGTAAAAACGCAAAATTGTAACTCGTGGCATTTTTTGAGATATCGTGCGAACAAAAAAGGGGAGAAAGAAAGAAGAATAAGAAGATCCTGACAATAACAAGAGGTGATCCGCTCGAAAAGCGGATCACCTCTTGTTATTGAAAAAAAAGATGACTAGATTTGAACTCGTCACTGAGGACGAGTTTGGTGATCCGCCGTACTTTGACCCTTACGAAGCACACGCGGTGCTGATTGAAAATTATTATATGCTAAAACATGCTCTATTTAGGTTTTTAAAAGAATAATTATAGCATTTTAATGACTTTCGAATGTGTACACATACGTCTTAACATCCGTGCGCACGGATTTGTTATTAATAGTGTCACAAACCCAAAACAGAAAACCGAAACGTAATTTCCAGCTTCAGTACGTGCCATGGACGTGAAAATGAGCGTACGGCGCGTAAATTATGGAAACATTTGGAATACTGAAAATGACCTGAAACGTGCTTTACATTATCTGAAAAGTGATATTGACAATTTTAAAATTTTAACGCACATGTACGAATACCTTATGCGACGTGCCCGAGGACGGTAATGGCACATGAATTTAAACCTTGTCAAGTTTAATTTAAAACCCCTGTTGGTTGGTAATGCTGCACGAATTTTCCCTTTACAGTATACGAACTATCGGTCTGATAGCGTCGAAATACATTCTGCTGCCCTCTATTTTAAAATTGTTCACATCTCTTAAGAAAGATAAGAAGGCTCCAAAAAAGCGGGGTTTTTTTTTCATTATTACTACTGTATCATTATCATTCATTGTCATCATCACCACCACCATCATCATGGTTATCATTATCGTGATTATTATTTTTTATTACTTGACTATTTCTTTTTTATACAATACAACTTATATTACGGTATATTTTTTCGTTAAGTTGCCGCCTTCATCTTGTTGAAGATTTTTTGCAACTGTATGACTTAGTATTACTTAACGAAAGCTAAACTTGTTCTGTTCAGGACACGGCCATAGCCACGGTTTAGGTCACGGGCACAGTCATGGTTAAAACGAGAACTCTTATCTGTTACAGAACGATAGTCTATCAACAACTGGTGCTCAGATAAGTAAGTATGACATCACACAATAGTAAATACAAGAAACATTATTTATAAACATTTTTTCCATTTTATTAAGGTTCATTTTGTTCCTACGGGCATATAGAACAAAAAAATTGATGTTAACAAGAAAAATATAGGGATGCATTGTAAGTACTTGCGTCATTTGTAATGGTCGTTAGTGTTTTATGGTCAATGCTTTTTTTTTGGGGGGGGGGGGTAACATTTATTAAAAATAAAATCAATGTTTATTTTGTTTTTTAACAATGTGTAGCATATATGCTTCTTAATCATATGCAGTTTAAATAAAATTAATCCGACAATTATTAACGTCACTAGAGGTCAAAAGGTCATCGACCTTTTTCTAAAATGCAATTTTTTCATAAAATATCAATAAACTTCAGTGACATAATGTCTAATTTTGGAAGTATTTGATACAAATTGTGTTTTACTTGTAGTTATTAACATATGGAATACAAAAATTGAGGTTAACAAGAAAAAAAATTAAAATGCATTATGTACTATTGTCAATGTTTATGATCCCAGAAATTTGTAATCAACAACAGTTTTTGGGGTAGGGGGTAACATTTATGCTGATAACCCTTGATTTAGTCAATTGATTTGTTAGATGTTGGTATCAACATTTAGCCTATACATTGGTCAGTCATTCAAATTTTTAAAAATTTGAAACAGGTAGAAATTGACGTAGCTAGAGGTCAAAAGGTCATTGACCTCGACAGAAAAGTTGTAAATATATTCCCAATTCACTCACAAACGTTTACAAATCTACAGTTGTGAGTATTATTATTAATTATTATTATTATTTGATACCAATTAGTATTTTCTATTATAAATAAGCATATGGAATATAAAACATTGATATTATCAAGAAAAATGTATAAATTGATTAAATGTACTACTGTCATTGTGTATATTCTTAGAATTTGATTTTTTTTAGAAATTCTTAGAATCAACAACAGTTTTTGGGGTAGGGGATAAAATTAAATGCTCATAACTCTTGATTTACTCAATGGATTTGTATGATGTTGGTATCAACATTTAGCCTATAGATTAGTCGTTGACCTCTGTAGAAAAAAAATGCAAATTCTTCCCAAAAACCATGGCAAATATTCTTTATGACAATATATGGAAATATATAGTGGTGAAAGTTATGTTAAAAGTTTCCCACACGAATAAGATAAACAAGCGGTACTGGATAAAGACAACCTGGTTTCTTGCTTCAAACAAGGTAGGTCTATCCATTCATGGAAGTCTTATGAAGATGAGCCTATCCAAGTGATGAACCCAATATCGGCAACTGAGGTATAGCGAGCGATCTGGATTCACCGTGCAAAGAACAGGGTATGCGACAGTGGTATCGCGCGAAACCTTTGATTTTAAAGTAATGGCGGAAGAAGCGCTCATAATTCGTATTGAAAGGGAGATAAATGATATCTCCCGTCGTTACCAAGAGAATGGTAGCTATAGAGGTTGCGAAACCCAGCCTTTACGAGATGCTCTAGTACATATGCGTGTCTTGAATCACACACCGCAAATTACTATGCTGGAAGACGCAGTGAGAAATCTACTGGAGGATATAACAAACCAAGGCCCAGTAGCTGTAGGCCTAGGAGGAGGCCAAGATGCGGTTGGTGGCCCTGAGCCTAGGAGGCCTAGGCTTAATCAAGATGTTGACACAGGAACTTCTGCCAATATCTTTCACTCTGGTAAGTAATTTTGGTTGGTTCGTTTTTACTGATTTTATATAGCTAAAAATAAACAGTTCACACCGACGATAGGCCCTACACTAGGCCCTAGGCCTAGGCCTACCTAGCTAGGCCTAGCCTAAAAAAAGCTGGGCTAGGGCCTACCCCGACCTAGGCCTAGGCCTCCCCCTGGCTAGGCCAAGCCTACCCCTGGCTAGGCCTAGCCTCTCTAGGCAGGCCATTTAGTATTGGTGTGGGTGGGGGAGGGGGTGGGTTGGCCTATAGGGCTATAGCCCTAGACTAGAGGGTTGGCCCTAGACTCTACCAGGCTAGTAGTAGATGCTGGTAGTGTGCCTACCTACTGTAAGGGCCTAGGCCCCCTAGGCTATGTGTGTAGGCCTGTGTAGAACATATTAATTTCATGTATCTATTTTAGTATATATAGGCCTAGCCTTGGCGGGCCTAGGCTAGGATATACGAGTAACATAAAAAAATAATATAAAGAAATACGGCATGGATGGGCTTTTTGCATTTCTCATATTCTGAGACTGTCGTCCCCAGGATGAACGTTCAAATTGAGCCCAATCATCCTGGGCCTAATTGTCTTTGGGCCCTATGGTTTTAATTAGAATAGGATTCGGCATTAAGGTCAACAATTCAGCCCCAAAGCCAGGCCAGTGCAAAATATAGCCAATGTAAAGTGTAAATCAGTAAAGATTGCCTTACAATATGTTAATATGTGAGTGAGTTGAATACTTCATTATAATTATTTTACTTTTCTTTCAATGGTAAAGGAACCAAAGGTCGACCAAAAATAGATATTACAAGAGAGCAGTTAGAATTCCTGTACACCAAAGGTTATTCTGGCGTGCAAATAGCTAAACATTTCAAGGTATGTAGAGTATGTTGCAGGTACTAGATTTTATTTAAGCCTTTAGTCAAAATCACTACTATATTCCTTACTGTTATTGATTTAAAATGACAATCCACCTTTTGCGTCTGATTAGTTATGTCGGCTATTGCTCGCTTTGTTATTGTTTTGAATGCTTGAGTACTGAGATGGAAACTTGCTGTATAGTCATAAGAATACATTACATTGAGAAGTATGTCTGTGGTTCATTTGGATTGTGGATGTGCTGACCCCCGGGGCCTTGGCTGTTGGCTGGCCTAGCATTTTGAACCTTAGGTGCGATTTGTTGCTTACAATCACAGCTTAAAATCAACTATTTTTTAAATGTACAGCGATAAATTATTACATAAAATTCATCTTTATGGTACACACTTTCTTTTGAATTTCTTTCTTTTAAAAAAAAAATGATATTCTGAATACTTAGCAAACAAGTCTGCCATGAATTACGGAATTTACAGTCTTCCTCGCTATTCAGTATCCAATGTTTTGATTTACTACCTCATTACTACCTCGAAGTTATCAAGTGGAAAATGTGGATTGTTAATGTCTTTAGGCCCCTCTATATTATTTTTTTGAGGAATGGTAGTATACAGTACCCCCCTTATATATTTATATTAAGTATATTTTGATTGTTTTGTGTATTGTTATTTATATTGAGACATATTTTTAAAATGCTGTAGATCGGATTGTTTTCTTTTTTAAAAATTTAATTGTTAAATACTGTGGTTATTGAAGTATCTTGTGTAAGCCATTGTTAAAATTGTTTTAATTTCAAGTTTTTTATTTTGGTAAGGTTTCAGTGTCTTACATATATAAACGATTAAGACTAGAGGGACTTCAACCATCAAAGAGATTTACAGCAATATCTTCAGAAGGGCTTAAGGAAAAAGTGAACGATATGCACATTTCCTATCCGAATGCCGGTTCTCGAGTAAGTATTTGTATAAGCGGCTGTAATGAAAAACAGAAATGGAGCATTTGTGATATATTGTAATTTATAGAATGTTGCATGTAGCTAATAATAATATACTGTATGTTACGACTTTTAACAAGACTGATAATTTATAACCTTCTTCCTTGAATTGTTTTTGTAGCCTAAATTAGGTGCGTAATAAGCAAAGGTACAGTAAGTAGTCAATATAAATGTAGATTACACAACAACATTTACCATTTATTACCCAGTGTGTTAGAAATATTAACTTATTCCAAAGAATTTTACAATTATTTCTATTCATTATTGAAATTTACGTCTATTAAAGATGATGCTAGGATTTCTACGTAGCCAAAATATCACCGCATAAAGAAAGCGGGTAAGGGAGGCACTCAAAGAAGTTGATCCAGAAGGGACAGCTAAGAGGTGGGCTCAAACAATTACTCGCAGAGTCTATGCAGTTCAAGCTCCAAATTCGCTGTGGCATATTGATGCCAATCTTAAACTAATAAGGTTTGTCAGTCTGATAAATTAAGTAGGCCCATTCATTGAATTTTTTAGATGTATCCTTTTTGTTCTTTGTTAATAGTTTTGGTCTTCCGTTTCTTTAGCGTGTAATACAGTGCGATGTCTCTATGTGTTCTTTACCTGATGTCCAAAAAGAAAAAAAATAATACTGGAAAAACACATAATTTTTATAGAATGGCAATAAAGCAAAATGGCAATACAGTAAATCAAAATAATTTGTTACCTGAATGGTAATGGCCCGAAAAGGCAATAAGCCCAAAAAGCAGTTGAAAAAAATAGCAATAAACCAAAACGGTCACACCCCCAAAATGGCATACTTAATGGTATTTGGCAAAATGGCCAAATAAAATACTACTATCATGACCTAGAAAGGGCCTAGGCCTAGAGTCTAAGCCAAGGGCCTAGCCTATATAATGGCCTTCAGCAGTTAACTTTCAAGTAAATAAAACTTTAAAAAGAAGGAAACACAATATATAAGCAGTAATTCAAAACTTTAAAATTTTGAATGTGTTTTAAACAATTTATGTAATAAAATTAAGAAATGCAAAAAAAAAGCTTAATAATCTAATAATATTAATAATAATAATAGTAATAATAACAATAATAATAATGATAATAATAATAATAAATGGATTGCGAGTAAACATTCAAATAAATGAAACTTCTAAAATGGACAAAATAAGCTAGGTATCTAAACACAAGGGCCCGAGCGAGGC